AGCTTCATTTGATATTTCTGTATGTCTCATCACCTATTTTAATGGGATATCTAGGACTGTAAAAGACGTTTCTTCCCGATTTATTGCCCAATTTCCCTTTCTCTTTTAATTTTTAAATGTTCCATTAAATCTGAAAACTTCTGCTCTAGTTTAATTTTAATACTCACTCAACAATCACGTACACACTCTCTGTATCCTCAGCTCACTCACTGGCGTCGGCAATAAAGGCCTATGACACCTTGACAGGATCAGAGCTCATGCACATTGCACCACCTGTCCGTCTGTCCATTCTTGGCTTGTTTGTTAATCTGTTCATTCACTCACTTATCCATCCTTTTTAATTAATAATTCACTCATCCTCATTGTACTCTTTTCTGGCAAAACCATCCTTATTTGGAATAGCTATTCCAGGTGGCTTAGCTTATTTTTTATTGACTCACCATTCTTCATTTTACTTATCCCTTAACTTGTTCACTTACTCATTCAGCCACCAAATCGGGATTTTAACATCCTTAGTGGAGGCAAATAGCGTTGCAAACACCTGTAATGGGTGTTAATTTACTTCCGTGTAGACTTCTTTTGTTGCTTTCTTAGGGTTGTTTACGGAAGAAATTTTATGTCATGTGACAAAGGTCCACTCTGATAAAAATACGTATAGAACGTGGAAGTGTTATGTAAACACCTTTTAAAAGAGATTATTTGCATGTTGAATCTACTCATTCTCTGATTCTCGATAGCCTTGAGGTTACAGAAGTGTATGTTACTTCCAGGTGCATAGGCAAATAGCAGCATCACGTATGTTTGACACTCCAGGTTTCTAATTTTAGCTAGAAAGCATAAATGTATGCTTCATATCTTCTATCAGTCTGCAATTACTGGTTATGGCAAAGTGTGTTGCAAACAGGTTTTATGCGCTACAACCAATGTGGTAACTTGGATGGTGCACTGTTGATGCCGCATAATAGCAAAGGTACATGTGGAGTGTGGTGATCCATTTTTTTCCTGGACTGGATTAAATACCAAACCATTGACTGTACACTTGCACCGGACCCATATGAATTTACAGGTAAAATGGACATGTCAGCGCTCGTCACGACATTCACTAGTTAATTTGTTGGCAGTTTATTGTGTGTGGCATGGTATAGGGAACATTTTCATGACTCTCTTATCCCTTTCTTAGATTTCTGTCAAATTTACACATCGGTTTTAGCAATGCCCTTAAGAACTCACAGAATGTACCATTACAGGATGTAAAAGGAGACGATTTTGTCAGCAAAATTTTACCTTAACAATGTTTAATGCAAGCTATGGACACGAGCTTTTGCCCGTAGTGACTTTTACCTCCCAACACTACCTGTTAAACTTTCAAAAGGGAATAATCCGCCAATGCCATAAACCCATATTTTGTCTTCACATATTTCAATATTTCATTTTTCTATTAATGTTTAAAATTCGGATCTATGTTTTCTCATGCCGTTAAGAGGTTAAGTGTTGTATTTCTTTTTGCTCTAACGAGAAAAAAATGTAGCAACTTCCCCCTTAATTTTTAGAAAGAATATGGATGGGATAAGAGCTACTTTTAAAAATAAATGAAATTCTTTGTTTGAGGTGGTATCATATAGATTAGAATAACCGCAACCGAAATCCACAATTTATAATTCTTTCCTAATGGGACAAAGTTTGGTAGAGCATTCAGAATATTTCCTCATTTTGCATGCGATCGTCTAATGATTGTGTTGAGGAAAATGGGAGTAGAGAATGCTAAGCACAAATATCTAGGGGGTTGAGTTATGCAGAAAAAAGTTTAGGGTAGAACGATCCTGTCGCTAGTCCGCTAGATTTGGTTGCTTGTAAGGAAGAAATTTTATTGTCAAACCTTCCATGTGCCCTGTTGTATGGTATAAAAAGTTAATTTATAAATGAGAGATTAAGTGAAAAACAGGTAGATGATAGATAAAAAAAAGAAAGTGTGAAAGAATTAATGGTTAAATAGATAGATAGACTTAAAAGACTTCCGAAGGAATGTCAAAGAAACGTCTACTGCCATTGTAGATGATACCACCAGAGAGGTGATAAGGTAAATAGAACCATCGAATGTATCTGTATTAGAAAAAATGAGGGGCTGATTGATGAAAGAAGGATGGATAGATGATTGGAGTGATGTGTGCGTGATTGGTTCCGCAAGAAGTTGACCAAGAACAAATGAATGAATAAATGAGGGCATTGATGGATGAACATTTGATGGGTGGTTGAAGGATAGACGGGTCTAACAAGGTTGGTCAGAGATGAATGCATCGTTAGCTTTGAAGAGGGGAGGCATTGAGTATGGGCAGTAGGATGGATTTTACTACATACGTCAAACGGGGCAAATCTGGAGGTGAAGGTTTTTTGTGCCTCGACATTCGTGGACCCACTCCACCACTTGATTGATATTTGAAAAACCTCGGTATAAAGCCAATTGTCAGCGCGCCCGAATCAACGTAGAATTGAATGCGCCAACTACACAAATAAACTCCTTTGTGGGAATGACTGCATTGCTCTATCCATCAGTGGACAAACGTCGAAAACCATCATGATGTTCGATGTGGGCTAAATATTCGCAATCTTTAATGATGAATGATGGTGTTCACTGTTGCTACAGAAGGAGTTGTCTACCATAGGTGATTTTGCTCCATACCACCAGCTGTTGTGCGTCAGCGAGACGTCCTAGATCGGATAGACATGTCACATGCTGAAGACATGTTGACAGCATTAATAGTTGTGCTGTTATCTAGAAATGCTACCACCAGAGTCATCATCTTCACTGATAGAATGCTGTTTGGTGTGTCATCAGCTTACAGTAGTGCGCTTCAAGTCATCTGTAGATATTGACGAGTTTGACGTCTAAGTCCTGGGTGGCAGGCAGTCTCGCGTTATGTGCGCGAACTTCCTCTAGCGCTGAAATTGCTACTGCCACTGCTACTACTGCCCCTGGCATTAGCGCTAACACTAGCACTAGCTCTGTTGCCTGCCATACCGTATTGATGGAGGGTATCCGCAGTGCAATTGTGACAAATCGGCAAAACTGATTCGTGATTATCCTTTCCTTCCAGGTATTTTAACTCAACGCGAGGGTGATCTAATCGACTCAACCAATCCAGTTGCAGCCCAGCCCTTTCTTCCTCTGGTTTGGGCCACGGCAATCTCAATGCGTGCTGAAAAGGACGGTTACATTCGCAACTCACACGCTCTGGTCAATCTAATTCAGGTAAATCTGATACGATGGGTCAGGCAAAATGCCCCTCTTGCTAGAGATTAAGCCAAGATTCCGTGTCTCATACCACCGTCAAACTCATTCGTGCAATACTGCCTCATCCTCTGAAAACTTTGCCGACTTCTGCTAGTGCTGACTGGCATCTCTTCTTGATAGTAGTATTTGACTGTCATATAGGAAGGAGGGTAGGTGGTTGGGGAAGAGAAGAGAGATGGTGGAGGCGGGAGTGGATGGCACTAGGTGGTTTCTTTCAACAGAAAATAGGCTTGAAATGGATGTGGTATTTATTGTAGTTATCGTCTTTTCTCTGTACACAACCGCACGTAATTACTAAACCGCATTAAGCTATTGAGTAGACCACATATTTGCCATATAAGAATCCAGCGACATGTAAAACAGGAAAGTAGAAACTGGAGTTTGAGTGGGGTCACCGTCAAATACGTGTAGTTATTTGAACTGGTGGGTATTCAACACAGGGATAAAATAAACCGACCATCGTGGAAGGTGATGTCAGGCTAACGATGTGACTGCCAGCCAACGAACGAGGTGCCCGCACATTTACACCGGCATATGATGGAATACCCTTTTGACACTGTAATGAGACCTTGCTTTTTAAGGTTGGTTAAACAAACAAATGGATGTGTGAGATAATTCTTAAATAAGCTTAACAGTGAGAGAACACTAGTGGTGGTGGGCAGTTAGGATATGACGGGAGGGGGTAGCGTGTGATTTCATTGCCTTACTTTGACCAGGAAAACGTGGCCTTCGTCTTCGACACAACACATGATTGTTGAGTTTTATTGTGGATTGTAGGTGATCAATGGCTTCCGAGAGTCGTTGCTGCGACTGTTTCTCATGGATAAAGTTTGTGTTCCATTGGTCTACACACAGGTGAGTTGTCATTGGCTAGTGCTCCTCTATGTGGCTCAATCATTCGTTTCTGATTGGATGGAGGAGGTGCTTTTCACAATGGAAAGATTGTCAGTCATAAGATGTCATGACAGATGTCCTCTAAATAATACGTTTGACACCATACCGTTGGCACCATTCCAACGACGCTAATTCTGTCACAAGACTGACTCTTGGGAATGCGCCAACTCGCCTCATCTCCCATATTCATACTTCCCTGAGATTTCTCTTAGTGACCATCATCCTCTCCTTGACATTAGTATTAGCAGTAGTCGATCTAATGCCAAGTGGAATCGGCAGTGGGATGGTGGAAGTGGAGGTGGGGATGGCAGAGGGAAGGTATTTAACTGCTACAGAGAAAGCGTTTGAAAAAGGTGGGTAGTACACACCTGTGTCATGTTTGGGAGAGCACTCTACATTGTCACGGGCAATTCATTAGTTCATCACCTTTTTGGAATCATTCTTTCGCATTTTAAAGTGCGGACGGTGGAGGGATTTTACGAAAACATAAGCAGCGAGCGAATCAAGCAAGGCTTTGGACGAAGTCCTCGAATCCATTTACTACTGTCTAGTTTTCTTCTCTGTGTTTGATTTAGTCCAATTTACTTATTTTTTCACGGATTTACTGTGTTTTCGCTGGGTAGCTGCGTAACGGGCCATCGTGACTCATTGCACAAAGTGTTGCCTTGTCACTGTCATTGGTATTAGTCAAAGGCAGGAATCAGTGTTACCACTATTAAGGAGCCACTTAGTCATAAGTTGTCTTTGGGGTTACGCTGAAATTGCCCAGTTTTTGACAAAAACTGGAATATTATTACGATGCCCAATAGCGCTACCACTAAACTGTCACCGGAGCTGCCCATTAGGGTGTTTTGAGTAGGTCTGAAAACAAGCCTTTAAAGGTGAGTAGAGGTATTTCACCATTTGACGTGGCATGTGTTGAGGTTGGGGCAGTTGTGTAACCACTGTCAAATCGTGCGTCGATGGGTGAAGTAACCGAAAAGGAAGCGTGTCGCCTTTTGACCCATTTTAGGTGGTCACATTGGCCGTATACTCCTACTTCCTGTCATCCATAATTGGTCGTCAGTTCATCGTCAACACATCCGACTACTCGGAGCCATTCAGGAAGGACTACTATGTTCCGCTGTACACGATTCTCGAGTTTATCGTGTACATGGGATGGTTGAAGGTGGGCGTTTCCTTGTTATTCTGCATAAGAAAACACCCTACACGACAATCACTGTGGGGGAAAGAAGGTGCATTTCCATTAGAAAATGAATAAGTGGAACAAAATTTGTTCAGTTTTCCAAAATTGTTGCCTCCTTGCTGCCTGTCATTTATTTTGGAACTTGTCAGATTGATGCTTCGATTATGGGTCAGAGTTGGAGAAGGAGTCGGGATCAGTTATTTACCGCTTTAATTCACTTCGCGCCTGCTTGTGATAGTAGTTGTGGAATAGGCAGCAGTTCCGCTGAAAACAACATGTCCTGCGTTGACTTAACACGGTCACACGCATCTAAAATGCCTCATTTCTCAACTTTATGTGATCTCATTAACATGCAAGTATAAAAGTAGTCAATTCCTTCAGTTCCGTGGTCGCATTTTCAAGTTGATTGACGTCGTGTCTGAACCCTGGATAAAGACATCATTCACCCCTGCAATCGGTGTTTCAGTGGCCTTCTTTACAGGGTGGGGGTATGAAAAGGCTGATGCTTTATTAAGGGAGAGTTAGTGAGTGGGGATGGGTTAGGGCATCGTGTGTTGTGAAGGTCCGACTACTCGATCATAATCTATCGTGGAACAATGGCGGTTCGGTGTGAAGTGGATAAGAGAAATGCTGGCCATTAGCCATGGGGAGATGCGATCAACACGTCACTGATGCGTTGTCAGAAGTTCATTTGTTGTGTGTTTGCAGCAAAGTGGTGTGACCGCCTGCATTTCAAAGTTCTCATAAATTTGTGGGCAACGATAATAATGAGAAGAAGTGGAAAGAAGTGATTTCGTCCGTGGGATCACTGAAGCATGTGGAGGAGGTTTGAGTGAATAGAAAACCAATTAAGCAGTGACACATGAGGATCCTTTCCAGAGTGAAGCACTTTGAATGCCCACTTGTCTCCTCCTTTCTTCCCACTACGGGTGTTTGTTCCACAGTTCTTCGAGCACTCTAAATTGGTGATGTGGGGTAGTGTGGCATTGGAAGGACGAGGCAACTCTACGTGCCAAATGCGCCAACTGCCTCGGGCAAATGCCGAGTTATCGACTGCTGTTGGGAGGCGCTGTGGGCGCCTTCGTGACTCTGTGTGGATGACCTCAAAACACACAGCGTTTTGCCCTCCTACCTGCTAACTGTCAGCTTCCAACTCCAGGCTCGTAACCCGTAAAGTGTAACTCGTGATTGCGTCAACACGGTGGAATTTTTTGTGCCTCAGATTACTCTGCTGGTTTAGTGGTCGTGCAAATGCTAATTTCGTAGTACCCACCCGTAGCAATGCATTTGCTACCACCTTAAATCCTACTGAATTT